CAATCTCACAATAAAACACATATTTGCAACTGTCAAGAAAGAGAAGGCACAGAATCGGGGCTGGCACCAAATGTTTAATTGGAGAGAGACAAAATATCAACCAAAAATCCAGAAACACCATTATATAAAAGTTATAAATTGAGCTGCATGTTATTGATTTAAATAATTATTTGAAGTCAGTTGGTAACGCCGTTGGTGACACACTACGCTGTAACTGACTGAAATCTGAAGACTCAAAGAACACCATCCCCACAGTCAGGCACAGACGTGGAAACATGCTAACTGTACAATACGACTTCGTGAGATCCTGCTTCCCTCAGCCAGGATGCTGAAAATGAGTCATGGATGGCTCTTCAAGCAAGACATTGACCCAAAACATATCACCAAAGCACCAAAGCACGGGCTAAAGAAAAAGCACACTGTGATAAAAGAGTAGTCTAACCAGATTTCAGACTATATACAGCTGAAGCTGCTGAGATTTAACCAAAAAACCCAAAGGATTTAGAGAGTTTCTGTAATGTGGAGTGGACCAAAACCCTTCCTGGGATGTGTGCAAACCTGGGGACCAACAGGAAACAGCTTACCAATTAACTCTTGTTTTGATTGGGGATCAAATACTTATTTATTCAGTGACATGCAAATCAGTTTTTAACTTTTGTGTAATGTGGATTTCTTTTTCTGGATTTTTTTAATCACAGTAGTGGGAGTGAAACAAGTCGGGAATTACTCTTGCATCGAAATGAAGATCAGCAAAGATCAAGAAAGAAAAACAGTTTAGCACCGTGGAGGAAGAGGCAGCGTGGCGAAGAACTGCCAAGCCTGAATACACAACCCCCAGATTTAATTTTTTATTTAACCTTCTTTTCATAAGGAAAAAATAAGATTAAAAGTCTCTTTTGTCATGAGTGTCCTTGCAAACAAGGACAGCAGTACAATCATAGGCTACACAAAACAATATGAAGCACACACATCCAAATCCATACACCAGTTAAATATGGGCAGAGGATGAACATTAACAAAGAAATTTCTAAACTTCACTGTCAATAAAAATGATTATCTTTGTCAAAACAGTAGTCAAATGCCAGAAACAAAGATAATAATATTCAGACAGCATGAAGTAACTTCATCAAAGTCGTTTAAAAGTGCATTTTCTAACTAACCAGTCTGGGATGAGAGACTCCAAGTCTTATCAGTTCTTCACCTTGTTTTCACTTCAGCATGTTTCCATCAAACTGTTTGTCTTTCAGCTGCGAAGCGACCAGGACGAAGTTCGCAACTTGACGTCGGGAAACTGGGAGGTGACAAAAATTGTGGCGTACGACGAAAAGAACCAGACTGTGTAAGACTCAAACAAAATCATAACCCGTGTTGTCTCAGCAAACGCTGATTGATATTTGAGAGGAAGATGTTAGCATGCTTCTCATACAGCCACGAAAATGAATGTTTTAACACAGACTGTGTGGCTTTTCGTTGCCAGGCTGTAATTATAACGCTGGACTCAGAAAGCAGTGGCTCAGATGTAAAGTAGACGATGAGAGAAAGGAAAAACACTCCTGCTAAAAGCCTCATTTTTATCTAGATGAAAGCCTTTTTTTTTTCCATTTTCCAACCAAGAAACAGAATAAAAACTCTTCTGTCTGTCTTATTTATTTTTTCCCATTATCACTGCTAATAATAATAATTCAGCTTCATTGAGGAGGAGGAGATAAATGTGAGAAAACAACAAGTGCTTTGTGAGCTGCCAGTTTCATGACAGCACAGATCTTTGCTTACGGTTGGGCGGACACAGAGACGAGTGCAGGCGGATGGATAATGGATGTGTGACCTTGTCCTACTTTAGCTGCTCTGCTTTCCTTCACACAGATACTTCCTGAGCACAAAGGACGCTGCAGAACACAGACACCTATACAGGTGAAACACACACTTAAAGCCTTATTCCCCCAGCCTTTGTGTGTGTGCGTGTGAGGCTCGGTAAACATTTTGTCCCCTTTCCTCTGACAGTGTGTCGACTCTCAGCTCGTTTCCACGGCGATGCCTCACCTGTGGACTGCGAGAGGGGTGCACCTTCTTCGATGCCAACGTCAGCCCAGAAGCACAGCACGCTATCGTGCACTGTCAAGGTCAGAGAGGGTCGATGCACATCCCGCTCGGGGAAGCATCACACACACAAATTATGAGGTCTCGTGTGAGCAATATTTGGCATTTTAATGACAGAGTGTTAATGAGCACTCTTTCTGAGCTTATGAGTTCTGACGGGCAGAGCCTCACCCTGTAACACACGGTGAGACTTTACGCCATGAAAGAGAGAAATAGTTTGAATAGAGAAATATTAAGAGTTATGTGTGAAGAGGGAAGTCCTCTTTCAGTTTTAAAACTCTATATATGGGGGCTTAATGAGAAACCATCTGGTCCTCAGATGAGAAACAACATGATTTATTGCACAGTGTCATTATTTATTTAACAGAAACTGAGCCAAAATGCAGAAACAGTGTGTAAAACAAGCATGGATCACCTCACTGCTTTCACAGGAATGAAAGTGTTTCTGCTTTCTATCAGGCCTCAGTTAGCATGTTAAATGTTAAAATTCATGACAGTCAAAGTAGAAAATGATGGGACAGGTATGGCTTCTTTGGAAGGTTTAGCAGGAGAAAGCCTCCTCTCTCTAAAAAGAGCAGGTTTGTAAAGCTGAATCTGAACAAACCACAAGACTTCGGCAACAATGTGTTTTCGACAGACGAGACCAAAGTAGAGATGTTTGGTCAGGATGCACAAAACCAAAGACCGCCCGCTGGGATTGGAACGATGGGAGAGGCATGAGTTTCTCAAAATGGGCTCATTGAGTACAGCACGGATAAGATCTTGGAGAGGCTTACGGCTGCTGTGAATACTCAGAATAAGATCTCTGAGTGCAGACTGGATAAATCTTGGAAGGGCTCGCTCGGAATAACATCTCTGAACGCAAATTGGATGACATCTTGGGGAGGCACACTGTGGTCGTGAGTTCTCAGAATCGGC